CTTCAAGGTCCTCCCATTCAGCCTCAGTGTGAGCCCATGGGGCTTCATGCATTTCATCCAGGCCACAGTCCATCATCTTCACCACCTTGGCCTTCAGGCGCTCACCTACATGGACGATCTGATTGTCATGGCCCCCTCCAAGATTGAGGCCTTCCAGGCGCACAAGACAACTCTCTGTCTGCTCCATTCCCTTGGGTGGCAGGTCAACTGGGAGAAGAGTTCTCTCAATCCCAGTCAGACCAACAAATTCCTGGGCCACATTGTGGACACCATGGGTGAGCCCTGATATTGGGTACCGCTCCAGAAAGCCCACAACCTGGCCCATGACATTGATCACCTCATCAAGGCAACAGCCAAATCAACCCCAGTTCCAGCACATCAGGTTGCATCTGTGGTGGGTCACTGCATCTCACTCATGAGAGTGATCCTTCCAGTGAAGCTGCTGATGCACAACCTGTTCCACGACCTTGCTTGCCAATGCAGCTGGGAAGACAAGATTCCTCTGTCTCCCCCTGCAATCAACAACCTGCATGAGCTATGAGTGGGCCTCTCCATGTGGAATGGGCATGTAGCCCTGTGTTGGCCCCCTGATGTAGTGCTAGAGTCCAACGCCTCCCTGAGTGGTTGGGGGGGATGTATTTGGGATTTGAGGTGTACAGCTGTGGGCTGGTGGAATGACTCCAGCTGACACATCAACAAACTTGAGTTGAGAGCAGTCAAGAATTCTCTCTGCACACTGCTCCCTCACCTCCACAGACAGAGCATGCACCTGCTGTGCAACAACATCACCACAGTTGTGTACATGAACAAGTTTGGTGGCTGCAACATTTGCCTCAATTGGGTGATGAAGAAGATCTTCAACTTCACCCAGACTCATGGCATCACCCTGTTGGCCAGACACCTGCCCAGCGACCTCAATGGACAAGCAGACCAACTCAGCTGTCTGCTTCCCCAACACAAGTGGAGTGTCCACCTGTCCATCTTCCAAGCCCTCAATTGCTGCTGGGGTCCACACTTGGTGGACTGCATGGCCTTGAAGAGCAATGCACTCCTTCCCCAATTCAACTCAAGGTTTTGGGAGCACAACATGGAAGTGGTCAACACCCTGCTTCAGCCATGGCAGGGTGAGAACAACTGGGTGGTTCTGCCAGTTGTGCTGCTGCTGGTGATTGCTCGCCTACTCTGTTGACAGCAAGCTGATGCAACAATCATTGCACTGGCGTGGCCAGGGAGGCAGTGGTGCCAGGATCTCCTGGACCTCTGCGCCAAGCCACCACTCCTGCTACTGCACCTGGCGCCACTGATTGAGCACCACCAAGCCATTCCAGAACCCCTGTGTTGTG